GAGTATTCATAACTTTGTAATATAGACGATATACAATTGCTAGATTTTCAGATCCAGGAGTCATGCTGAATCCATGGGTTTTGAGATTTATTGTTAATACATCTAGGATATTAGGGTCTGTTAATGAAACAGAAAAAATTGGAAAACAGTTAAAATAAATGGGTCCACTACAAAGGCTGGATTCAACCATGCCGAGGAGTGAGTTCGAAAACTTAATGTGTCTTGTATCTCTTAAGCATACAAGCACTGAGTTGTTTAAACCTAAACGGGTTAAAGGTTTTATAGCTATTTATATTAATCCAATATGTAAATATTATAATTATTTTCTTTATGTTTTTCGATAATTTTTCTATACAACAGTTGGAAGTCTTCCTGATTTTGAGTTACTGATAAACTTTCTTCCACTGTTTTAATTGCATATCCTAATTTTAAATTGAATTTTCCCCTATTATAAATATCTGAGATAGGTACCTTGGGAATATTCCGATTTTGTATATGTTTCTCAACATCATTTATTATTATTTCTTCCTTATTTTTTACTTTTAAAGTTTGACTAGTTTGAGTTACTGTTTTACCTTTTAGATTTCTAATTAAATTTGCCATCTGTAGGTTGCGGATAATGACAATCTGGAAGACCAAGGGTCCAGCGTGTTCCCCTAAGCGGCTCTTCTTGGCCTTGGCGGGTACTTTACCTAGACTTTTTTCGTCTCTTGCCTTAACTCTCGGACCAACTTTCTTAGATGGAAATTTACTTAGGTTTCTACGATAATACTGTAACTTTCACTTTGGCTCTGATACCAAAACGCGTCAAGATCTAGTGACATTTAACATTTAACCCTATTATAGAAGGTATGTAAAGATCAAACTATTATACTTTATTAATTCTTGTAAAATACGGCAGTAATTTAGGCAAAAGAGAATTAAGAAGATAAAAGGAATAACTGATATATCGATAACAACCCACTGTGTGTGTGTGTAATTGCCTAGTTTAATACTGAAGACGAATTTAAACTGCATACCAACAACATGACATAATCATTACATAAAGATGAAATTATTACAGACTACAAGCAAACTACAAACCACAAGAGATATTACAGTTTACAAACCATCGGTATAAACAAAAACAAACACTTACAATTTACAGATACAATAACTGGAGAATAACTTCCAATGTTGAGGACAGTATGATGGAAATGTGTGGAAGTTGCAGTCACACATAATAATTTTATAAAAGAAGAGGATAAGAGAGAACCTGGTTGTGATAAATCAGAAAGATAGGAAAAGACCTGGATAGCATGAGGTGGTTTCAAGCTGTGAGGTCAGGACAGCAGCAGTGGAGCAGTATGACAAAGAGAGTAGCAGGATATTAGAGAGATGAGCAAAGACTGTGAGAGAGCAGAGGGATGGAAATAGAAGAGAGCAGAGGGAGCAAAGGAAGAAGAGAGCTCCGACATCTACTTCAATTAAGGAAGGGTGCTTCCTTATATAGGCGAAGGCTAAGGTAACTTAGCGAGGAAGGAAGAGACGGAAAGCGAATTGATTTGACCAAAAGAGAAATAAGAGACGTAAAGGAAAAAGAGAAAAGCAAAAGCAAAAAAAAGATGCTTAAAGAAGCATCTAAAACAGTATCTTTTTGTCACCTTCTATCGGCAGCATAGTGTTCAGTCGGCCACACAGTGCCTGGTTTTGTCGTATGCGTCGGCAGCTACAGTGTCTGGTTTGTCGTATGCGTCGGCAGCTACAGTGTCTGGTACGAAGGGAATCTTGCTACAATATTTTGAGGTGTATGGTGGAGCAACTTTATGGTCTTTGGCTGAATTCATTGGGGTCTTCTTATTCTTCTTCTTCTGGATCGATTTCTTCTAGTGGGAAATATTTATTAGCACGATTTGGAGAGAATTGAATTGTTTCTTCTGAGGATACTGGTTTGCGCCTTGCTTCAGCAAAGATTTCGTGCATTTGTTTTTCCAGAGTTTCTTTGGTGGCATCTAGGTTATTTTGGAGCATATTTCGGAGATATGTAGGGAAATCGAATGAAGTATTGCCAGTATTATATCCAGAAGGATTGGGATTATAAATGGGTTTTTGTGGTGGTATTCTTTTGGGTGCAATTGTAGTGGGATCCATATTGAAAATGTCCCACCATTTTACAGAGATAGTTTTGCCCAAACGCGGGATATAGGTATAGTCAGCTGTATTATTAGAAGACAGAGTATTTCCATTTCATGATCCATGGGAGTTGATATATGGTGACAAATTATAAGTGTGGATCCGTATCATTATCAATCTTATTGAATATTGCAAACTGCTCTTGTGCTTTCTTAAAAGCAGGAGGTAAAATGTCACTTGTAGAACCCCATATCAAAAACTAATTTTTAAACCAACTGCGAAATCTTTCAAAAATGGGCATCTTGAATTGGATGTACCAACTATGAGAGTTGTTTGGATTTTGGTATGAAAATACTTTATGCCATGCCTCAATGTATTCGGCATACTTATAATACTTATAAAAAAAATCTTGATTATTTAATTTTTTCCCCTGGGTGGGATTGCAACATCACTCATCATAGGATAAAAGTTTTTTTATTTGCATTTTCGAGTATGCAATTACTCTTGTATTTTGCTGATAATAATGGACTACAGAGACAGACCCTGTTTCCATTAATATAGCTTCATATTATTCACGGGTTTTCACCCCATTGGTAGGGTTGAGATGGTTTATGAGGTAGAGAGGAGCAAGTTTGGTTGAGTCCATATGGGTATGGTGATCTTCAATGGTTATATCTATGAGGAAGGCTCTTTTGATGAATGTGGAACGAGGAATATTTGGATTCAGCCTCTGGGACGGCTTTGATTGAGCAGGTGTAAAGGCTGGAGTTGACGTATTATATTCTGGATAGGTTATTTGGTAGATAGGTGAAATAGATTTTTAAGCTAAACAAATCTAAAAAAAACATCTTTTCTAAAAGTCATCTTCTCAAATTTTTAGAGAAAGAGAAAGGTTTCATGGAGGTGAGAGGTTATAAGGAAGAGAGAGTTGTGTTTGAAAAAACATAGGAGGAGAGAGACATTGGAAGAAAGAGAAAGAGAGAAGTTTGGAGATGTATAATTTAAGAGAGAAAAAGATTGGGTGTAGAAATAATACGTCTTTCACACATTTATTTAGGTTAAAAAATAGAATTAGAGTGGCCAAAAGGTTATAAGATATTTTTAAAAACTTTAAATTTATCAAAAAAAATAAAACTTAAAATAAAAGATATCGTCTTTTTTATTAAAATATACATGTATAGTGTTTTGGTGCCAATATGCAGCACACATATTACAGGTATGTGACGCTTTGGCGCTGCGAACGCATACAATGGGTCTTGGTGCCAGTTTGCAGCGCTTTGGCAGTAAAAAGCGCCACGAATACAATAGGTCGTTGGGGTCTTTTGCGGTGCCATGTATTATAGCTCCGCATCACTTTGGTGCTACAAAGCACACGGATATATCTGAGCCGTGATTTCACAAAGCGTCATAAAAATAATAAGCTCATAGCACTTTTTTTTTTTTCATCTAATGCACCACTGGTATAGTTTGTATAGAGCTGAGATTCTAAACAATTAAAATAAATTGCACCTTTGTCGAGAAATGTAGTTTCAATATTGAAAATCTCTTTGATAGCCTTAAAATATATTTTCATATTTAATTATAAAATTTAAAGTTTAAAAAATAGTGTAAATCGAGCAGATATATGAAAACATGAAAATCTTGAAAATTGGCTGTCCAAAAATGTGTTACAAGATGCACTATTTTCAAAACTTGAAATCCATTTTTTTTCTTATGTCCATACATCTTGATGTCGTGATGATCAATTTGAGGATATTTGAGCATCAAAACAACCTTCTAATAAAAATTTTGAGGTGGTCTCTAATTTGAAGGTTTAGAGCCTTAGCTTTATATAAATTTTTTTCCCTTATATATTTAATGTGTGATTCCACAAAGCATCACAAAAATAATAGGTCCATAGCACTTTTTTTTTTGCACCATGTATCTGTTGGATCCATGATGCACAAGATCCATGGCGCCATTGTGCAGCATGGATCTAGCACATTTGTAGCAAAGAAAAAATAAATATTAACATCCAAATGGAGATTTAGGTAATTTTTAGTGGTTTGTGTAAGGCTGAGGTCCTAAACAACCAAAGTAAAGTGCACCTCAAATAGTGTCGAGATATGCCCTTTCCATATCGGAAACCTTTGTGATGTCTTGAAAAATTGTTTTCATAACTAATTATAACATTTAAAAATTCAAAAACATTGTAAATTGAACACATCGATAAATACTTGAAAATCTTAAAAATTAACGGTCTAGATAATACATTACAAGATACACTATTTTCAAAACTTAAAATCTATTTTTGTATCATATACATACCTCTTGAGGTCGAGATGATTAAATTGAATGTTTTTAAACAATGAAACAACTTTTTGCAGTAGTAAATTTTTTAGGTAAAAGCCCTAATTTGATTTTCTAGGCCTCACCCTTATATAAACTTGATTTTAGCCATTTTTGGTATTTAAAATTTTATAGTTAGATATAAAAATAGATTTTGAGATAATTTGAAGAATATTTTATATCAAAACTATATGTATATATTGATTGGGATTGTATGCAATGAGACCAGAGTAATAATCTTATGAGACCATCTCACACAATGTGTGTAGTACCTTAAAGAATCACCATTAAATTTGACATATATCTCTAAAAAAAGTTATCACATGATGTGGGGGTTGACTTTTCTAGAGATCTGTATCAAATTTAAAGGTAATCTTTTGAAGTCCTGTACACATTGATGCGACAGGGTCTCGTAAAATCATGAGTACATTGATGCGACAGGGTCTCGTAAAATCATTACTCATGAGACTATTTACCTTTTATACAAAATGACCATCGTTCCTTACAATAATTTAAGGTGAAATTTGTAACTTGATGTGTCGGGAAATTTCTTTTGAGGTTTTGGGCTAAATAATTACAAGCACTCTCTCATATCGATTTTATTCTGTCTCCTCTAATTTCCTATAGAATTGCTCTCATAATGACTTTACAGTTTTCACACAGGGTCTCCCTCTCGTGATGTTGAGTTCTCTCTCCCTATGGCCTCCACTTGGTGCCAAACTTATTTTCCATTTTCCCAACGAATTCACTGTAAATTCCCACCCAATGTAGGCGCAAAACTTTCCCCAATCCACCCAAATTTCTCTCACAAAAGATTTGAAAACCTGAAGCGCCAACTCATAAAGCATAGTGAAAATGGCCAACCTAAAGAGGCCCTTAAAATTCTAAGCTTTATGCGCAGCAATGGCATCTCGCCTGACCTCACCATATACTCTGTGCTACTAAAATCATGCATAAGGCTCAGAGATTTTAATCTTGGGGGATCAATCCATGCGCATTTGCTCAAGTCCAACCCTTTACTGGACAATGTCACATTGAATTCTTTGATAAGTTTTTACTCAAAATGCGAGGATTATTGTGGTGCTCTTGCAATATTTGACAAAATGAAGAGCAAGGACTTGGTCTCTTGGAGTGCTATCATTTCGTGCTTTTCTCGTTCTAGACAACCCATGAAAGCAATCATTTTCTTTGTTGGGATGCTTGAATATGGGTTGGACCCAAATGGGTTTTGTTTTTCGGGTGTCATGAAGGCCTGTGCTTCCATGGAGACCATGGAGTTTGGAGAAATGGTGTTTGGGTTTGTTTTAAAAACTGGTTTTCAATCTGATTTGTGTGTAGGAAGCTCTCTCATTGACATGTTTGCCAAGATGAATATGATGGGTTCAGCTCGTAAACTTTTCGATGAAATGCCGGAGAGAAACTTGGTTGTATATACACTTATGATTACTAGATATGTTCAGCATGGGTATTCTAGAGAGGGAATCCAATTGTTTATGGACATGGTGATCGAAGGGTTCCAACAAGATAAATTCAGTTTAAGTAGTGCCATTTCAGCATGCACAAATTTGGGTTCATTGGAACTCGGCAAACAGATCCATTCCCGTGTTTTAAAAGATGGTTTGGGATTGGATTTATGTATAGGATGTTGTATAATAGACATGTATGCAAAGGGTGATGAGTTTGGATCTTTGTGTGATTCAAAGAAGGCTTTTGATGCCATGCCTGAGCATAATGTAATGTCATGGACTGCAATTATAAGTGGTTATTCCCAAAGAGTAGGAAAAGAAGAAGAAGCTATCAAGCTCTTTGTCAAGATGGTGCAACATGGAAAAGTTAAGCCCAATCAATTCACTTATTCTAGCATTCTTAAGGCTTGTGCTAGTCTCTCAAACCCAGTTATGGGTGAACAGGTCCATGCCCATGTGGTCAAAGCTGGTCTCTCATTGGTTACACATGTTGGAAATTCTTGTGTTAGCATGTACTCTCGGTCTGGAAGAATGGATGATGCACGTAAAGTATTTGATTATCTCTATGAGAGGAATTTGATCTCTTGGAATACTATACTTGATGGGTATGCTAGAAATTCAGATACTCAAGAGGCTTTCACTTTCTTTGAGCATATAGAGAGTATGGGCATTGAACCGACTGATTTCACATTTTCCAGTCTCTTAAGTGCTGCCGCAAGCTTAGGAACAATGGGAAAAGGCATGCAAATCCATGCTAGAGTGATAAAATCAGGGTTTGAATGTGACCAGTGTATTGTTAATTCACTCATATCCATGTACTCTAGGTGTGGAAACATAGAGGATGCCTTGAAAGCCTTTGAAGAAACAAGCTATAGCAATGTCATCTCATGGACTTCAATGATCATTGGACTTGCAAGACATGGATATGCAAGAAAATCAATCGAATTCTTCAATAAAATGACTCAACAAGGTGTGAAACCCAACGAGATCACCTTTGTCGGGCTCCTAACAGCTTGTAGCCATGTGGGTCTAGTTAAAGAAGGATGGGAGTACTTCAATTCTATGTATTCTAATTATGGCATTGTGCCAAGGTTTGAACATTATGCTTGTATGGTTGATCTCCTTGGGAGATCAGGACTTCTCAAAGAAGCTTACAATTTTATACTGGACATGCCATTAAAGGCTGATGCTTTGGTGTGGAGAACGTTACTTGGGGCATGCCGAAAGCATGGGGAATTAGAGATAGGAAAATATGCGGCTAAGCATATGTTAGAGATCGAGCCGCACGATCCTTCAGCATATGTGCTGCTTTCAAATCTCTATGCTGCAACAGGTGAATGGACGCTTGTTAGTGACATTAGAAGAAACATTAGAGAGAAGAAAATGATGAAAGAGGCTGGTTGTAGTTGGATAGAAGTAGATAATAGTGTTTATGCTTTCTATGTTGGGGATACATCAAATCCAAGAACTAAGGAAATTTATGGAAAGTTAGATGAATTGGTCTGCAAAATCAAATGCATGGGTTATGTGCCAGACACAAGCTTTGTTCTTCATGATTTGGAAGAGGAACAAAAGGAGAAGTATGTGATCCAACATAGTGAGAAGCTAGCCATTGCTTTCGGTATCATAAGTTCACCCCCAGGAAAACCCATTCGAGTTTTTAAGAATTTACGACTGTGTGGGGACTGCCATAATGCAATTAAATATATTTCAGTTGTTGCGAATCGTGAAATTATTGTTCGGGACACAAATCGCTTCCATCACATCAAGGATGGTGTATGTTCTTGTGGTGATTATTGGTAATATGCATGACAAGTTGATATAATGAGGATTCATTCTCTCCGAGTTAAGTATTAAAAGTCATATTCAGATAATTAGCAATTTATGCATCTGCTACAACCATCTTATTGCCAATAGGAAAATGAGTAGAACTTATTACTAGCGAAGATAGTATCTTCGGTGATACAAGAAACAAATGACATGAGAGATTTTTAAATATGTCAAATTAATTGGGGCCAACAATGATGGTCTGGCTCTGTCAATAAAATGTAATATAAATGGATCTTATAGCAAAAGTTCAGGATATCCGCCCATTTATTGAATTGGTTGAGAAGCATAGGCAACATGGACCTTAATGTCAGATATTGTTTTCTTGTAATAAATCCCCATGAACATAATTTGAATGGACAGAGTCCCCAATATATAGCAAACACAGAAATGTAATTCTGTTGAGGAGGAGAAATTGCAAGTCTACTTGTTGACATGGTAAGGCAATAATATTCTCTGGTTCCTATCATCTCTGTTCGACCTCGATATCTGAAACCAGTAATTGCAAATATCAAAGAACAAACAGGTATATTTTCCAATTTTTCAGACACCAATAGCCGCTTCTAGAGCAAGAAAGAGAAAGAAAGAGGAACTCTGGAAGAAAAATGATAGATAATTTTGATAGATATATGCAAATTATTCGATGACATAAAATTGTCTTCTGTTTTTCGTGGACTGTATAAGTTTGCTGAACCCTTCAGGTCCAGGAGGCTCCACCTAGGAATAATTGATTCTCAAGAGAAGATCTTCCTTATAAGCCTCGGATAATAGTGATACAAGTTTTGTGATAGGAGGGAGATGAGCTAGAAAAGGCTCAGCTGATTCGAGATGTAAACTCAACAAATGCCACACATTATGAGTGAAGCTGGGAAGCTATAATCAAGGAGTGTATGTATAAACCTGCTAAAGTCTGCTCTATTGGGCACTTTATACCCCCTGAATGCCCTAATTGGTCTTCAGAGATGGGTTAAATGATGGAAAATAATGCTACTGAGTTCCAAGAATAATGTGAAATGCTTTTGTATTTAGTACCCAATACAGGCCAAGCAGCTAGAAGGAAATTTTAAGGAGAAAGTAGTGTTGAAACTAGCATATTGGAAGATCAATTAGCTGAAATTATCATGAGCAGCTACGATATATAAGTTTTTTTCTCTTGACCAAATTTGTAACCTGCATTAGCAGACTCATTTTCAGTGGTTTTCTTTATCAAACTAGAGGTTTCCAAGGACCCATGCATATCACGGAACAAGGAGCCACCGAATACACTAGCTAGGCTTAACATGTAAAGTGGGGGCACAGGAATGTTGTGCTTCAAATACAAACATAAAGTTAAAAGTACCAGATATTCTTAAAGGAATACATATGAGAAACTTCCAGTAGGAAAGATCAAGACTATAGCATAGTAGTTGTAATTGGAGCTGAATATGTGACAACACTCCAAGGGCGTATTCTCAGGCAAAAACTAAGTTCCACTCGCACCCCATGTAACAAGCTATTCCAAGTAAGAAGTGGAGAAGAATTAAATGGGTGTAACAAGCTATTCCAAGTAAGAAGTGGAGAAGAATTAACTCATAAGGACTGCCATTGTATAACCTTACATCAACAGATGCCGCTTCCCATATTGGGGGAAAATGCAAACCTATAGCTATAGAATTTGGAAAAATGACACCAAAAATAATATCGTTTCCATAAAGTAGAGAACCTGAAACATGTTCATGGATCCCTTTTAGAGGAGCCACAATGAAGGTGATAATAAATATAGAAGTCGCAGTCTATAAGGTAGGGATCATCAAAACACCAAACCACCCATTGTAAAGATGGTTTTCGGTGCTGGTTGTCCAATCGTAGAAGTGCCCCCATAAGCTTGATTGATCCTTTGATTAGATCCCAACAAAAATCAGGTTGTTGTGAGTAATGTATCGCATCCACCTTTTCCATTTGACCATTATTTGGATCGTCACTATTCCCAGCAACATTATAAGTAGAAGTATTAGTATTCTCATTGTCATCAACATAAATTACCACAGGTTTGGCTTTTCTTGAACGAATTCCATGATCCTCTATTTATTCTTCATTATCTTCTACCTCCTCTTGTTCCAAATCTACAGTTAATCTAGATAATTGTCAAGGTGTCATTTTCTTTCTTTCTTGAATTTCACTGGATGCATTCCTAATTACTTTATCATTTAGATTACTCAGAATTCTATCCAATTTTAATCATTTCACTTTATTTTATTTTTTAATGAATTCCTCATTATTCTGTCAATAAATTATGTTGTTTCAAACCGACTGTCGATTTCGCATTGTTTTCTACTAATTCATGGATAGAAATCGACAAAGGGCTTATGTCTTTAGATAATATTCTCTACTATCTATTTCGTGTTCAAGTTCTTGCCAATCATTTTAAAAAAAATGAGACTGGTGATTCGAATCATATGTCCAAGTGATTTGATCATTTATAATTGAATGTTAATACAATTTTTTTATTATTCTACTGATCTATTTAAAAAAAGATCATACATTTTAGGTAAGCATTCTTTTTCATCGTGATCATTGCATAATTTGATCCTTTTTGGAGCAAATCCAAAATAATATGTCCCTTGTCCGAAGCCATTGCAAAAATATTGGCATCTCAAAAATGTCAAGATCAAAATATAGATTTTGAATTAAGTTCCAAATTAGTGGATGCTGGCAACAATAACATACGCAAAAAGGAAAAAATGACAAAGGCTAATAGGCATTTTGCACTTTTTTCACTCGACTATCTATTTTACATCAAGTAATACGTGGAGTAAAAACTAATATAGCAGTAAAAGCAACATGTGTGGGTGGATAGACTCATCGAGTTCGAAATAGGATTCAAACAAGGAAAAGTATTTGCCACTCACTGGTTATCAAGGGCATCCTAAAAATATGCGAGTAAAAAATATAGCTTCCAAAAGTAAGTTCTGAATTAGTGGCCACTGTCAAAAGAGACTCAAATAGCAAAGGCCAAGAGAGCATTAACACATTTTCGTTAATATGTGAATAGGATTCTATATAGACACATAGATCCGCAAATCCATACATCTCAATCAGAAAAGAAATGATAGAAAAAGAAAGAACTAGGATTGCTTAGCCTATTTCTCAAAAAAAAAAGAACTGGGATTGCTTGGTCTATTTTTCAAAAGGCATGCACTAGCCTAATGGCTGCCCGATGTAGGAGGGAGTACACCATCTTCATGATGCCCAATGTAGGAGGGAGTACACTATCTTCATGGGGCCATGCAGCATAAGGTTGCTCCTGATTACACCATCTTCATGAAGTCATACAACATAGGTTGTTAGAATTCGTGAGAGCATACAAGCACAGACATTGAATGGAGAATGGAAAGAGAAGAAAAGAGAACAAAACATTTACGTGGTTCAGGCCGAAGCTTTACGTCCACGGATCCAAAGTTCAACAGGCTACATCTTCTCTAATTTGGATGAATGTTTACATTAATAAGTACCTATATATATATATGACAATCATACAATTACAGGAGATAAATATGGTATGATTCTTGGATATAGAGATAAATAGTAGGAGGCCTTATCACTAAACTAACTAAATGATATAGCCATACATTCATAATGATGTATATCAATATGGACTTTAATATCCATATCTTAACACTCCCTCTCAAACTCAAGCTGCATACATCCATAATGATGTATATCAATATGAACCAGAGATATCCATATCCTAACACTCTCCTCAAAGCAGCGGGAGTTTGAACAATACTAAGTTGCCAAAAACGATTAGTGATCTTCAAATTGTTTGAAGAACAAGCATAAAAAATCGGCGACAGATCTTAAGAATATACGGTCTCAAGAACACCCTGGATCGAGTAACGAAAATGTTCTTGAATCAAATAACGAAAAACTCAAGATCGACAGTACGGCCTCAGGAACAAACAATCGAGTAACGAAAAATTGGATCATCTCACAGGATGGAGTAACTCAATCATTAAACATGAGCATCCAGAATAGATAGGATCAAGTAAACTCGATCATCACACAAGATGGAGTAACGGAAAACTACATCATCCAATAAGATCGAGTAACGAAAAACTTAATCATCAAACATGATCAAGTAACCAAAAACTTGATCATCAAACAGGATCGAAAGATTCGATCATCAAACATGAGGCACTTGAAAGAGCCAACATAAATCAAAAGAAAATCCGAAAATCATTGGAGGCAAAAACCAATCTCTAACTTTATACCAGAAAGTAAATATCTTTGCTAAATTTCAGCCCCAAAATCGCGTGCTCTCTCCAAAATGTGGGGACATTCGATCTTTCGATGATCCCAACTCACCCCAACTCGATCTCCCTTTTTTTTTCTCCTTTAAGTTTTTTTTTTTTTTTTGACTCTTTATTGCCAAAGGGCAAAAGGAGCTTCTAGAGAGAGAAGGGAGAAAGTGGAAAGGATGATTCCTCCCACCTGGTTCTAGAGAGAGATAAGAGAGAGTCAAAGTTGCAACAATAAGTTGTATTTGGATGTCGAGATATGTTGAGGTCACTCGCTGCTTGCGAATTGCTTCACAATGCCAACCTTGGTTGAACCCGCACCACAAACTGTACCCAACAATCTTGTACTCAATCTTTTTCACAAAGTCCCCAAGGCAACTCCTGAAAAAGCAAGGAACCCACTCAAGTCTGTACTCGAAGACCTTTTAGTTTCTTTAAGAAGAAGATCTTGAATATAGCTAAAGCAATATGTTCCAACCCATTAGCAATAGCGTTGCAAAGTTTTGGGTATGTAAACGATAGAAAAAAAAAAAAAGGCAAAAATGCCTCTTGGCTATTTTTGTTGTTTTCCCTTACCTGAAAACATCTTCTACCTATTTTCCCTTATCTGAAAACGTCTTCTACCTATTTTCCCTTATCTGAAAACGTCTTCTTGAGCCTCTTGGCTATTTTCCGAGCACCGTCTCGCTTAATAACACCATTATTCTCACATTGTTGCAATTTTATTTGACCCATACAACCAACCTTTGGAGAAATGGGTTCTTCTCTCTCTAACTGCAATAAATTCGGGAGGGAGATCAAGTGGGTATGGCACAAGAAAAATCCAAGTTATCTAAAACCACACACACCATGTGGGTCGACTACAGTTCGGGGTGGTGATTGACCAATCTGTTTCTCTCTCATCTGGCCTCTCTTTCTTTGATTGACCAGTATGTTTCTCTCTCATCCAGCCTCTCTTTCTCTCTCTACACCAGCCTATTTCTCTCTCATCCTTGCAAACAATGCCTATCCAAATTCATTGGAAAGTTCTGCTGTTTTGATAAGGTGGGCAAAGAGATGGGTCGAGAGGCATCAATAGATCGTCATGCCCAAGCACCGCTACTACCATTTATCTCCTTCTCATGCCCTCTCGCACTTTCTCTCACTTGACCAAAGTATGGGAACTTACAAGGCCTTAAGATGAAGGGAGGAAGTAAAAAGAATGGCTTTAAGATAAAACAATGGATGGGATGTAAAAATCAGAAAGAAGCAAGAGGTGGT